ATTTAAGTAACTTTTTCATGTAGGGTGTAGGTTCTCTAATAATTTTTGTTTGTCTGGGTTTTTTTTGGGTAGGACTGGGATTTGAGCTCAGGGGTTTATGTTTGTGAACAGAAGCTCTACTGCTTGAGCCACACCTCCAGCTCATTTTGCTGTGCTTATTTTTGAAGATGGGGATCTCAAGAACTATTTGCCTGGACTGGGCTTAAACCCTGATCCTCCTAATCTCAGACTTCCAAGAAGCTAGAATTAGAGGCTTGATCCACAGGTACCTAGCTAACTTCTTTTCTTTCTCTCTCTCTCTCTCTCTCTCTCTCTCTCCCCCCGCTGTGCTGGTATTGAATCCAGGGCCTCGAACATGGTAGGGAGAGCTCTATCACTGGGCTTCATCACCAGCACAATATGATATTTTGATCAATACATTTTTTGAATTGAAGAGTTCTTAAGTTTTAAGAGATAAACTAATGATATTCAGGATAAGCTTTTCACCACACCAAACAAACAACAAATAAAAAATAAACCACTAGTTTAGGAGACTTCAAAATCATCCAGTCCATATATGGTCTCCTTTCTACAAATTGTATGTTCTCCACTTGGGCAGGTAGAGTACCTTACACACAAACTTAGTGACAGACCTTGGATTGGGCCTAGTTTCTGGATTTGTAGTTCTTTTCTTTTTTTCTTTCTTTTGCTCTCCTCCTCTCCCCCTCTCTCTCCCTCCCTCCCTCCCTTCCTTTTTTTTCAGTACTGGAGTTTGAACTTAGAGCCTTACACACTCTATCATTTGAGCAATGCCCCTAGCCTTTTATGCTTTAATTTGTTTTTCAGGTAAGGTCTTATGCTTTTTGCCTGGGCAGTCCTAGGACTGTGCTCCTCCTACCTCTGCCTCCTGACTAGCTGTGATTACAGGTGTGTACCACCATGCCCAACCCTGGATTTCTAGTTCTTTCTACCACCCCCTGCTTGCCTTCTTGGCTGATCATTGTAGGTATGAGAGACTAAAGAGAAGTAACTTGGATGTTTTCAAGTTTAATCTGCATTTGATTTAAATAGTATAGCATTTATTCCCCTTGTATCATTTACCTAGTATGGTACCTGGCCACATAAGCATGACCAATTGGCAGAAGAATATGATGGACATAAAATTAGTTAATGCTTTAATGATGGGTTATTAACACTGCCTCTTCTTTGAGCTCTTTAACTTAAAAACTTTAAGGGCTTTAAGGAAATATAAAGACTTTGAATTTGTATTCATCAGCTTTCCGTCACTATAATAAATAACCGAGGGGCAGAAGGTGTATCTTTGTGTCAGGATTTGTGCTTAGTATGGGCAAGACACTGGGTTCAATCCTTAGCATTAAAAAAATCAAAAACTAAAACCCAACAACACAAATTCTTGAGATAATCAACTATATAAGGAGAAAAGGTTTATTTTGGCTTCCTGTTTTGGAGGCTCGGTCCATGAAGGATTGGCTCCATTGCGCTCTGGTCCTGCAGGGGACGTCTGTCATTGCAGAAGTGCATGGAGGAGCAAAACTGCTCACTTCACAGTTAGGTAGTAAAAAAGAGGAAGAAGAAGGGAGTAGAGACCCTCAATTTTCTTCAAGGAGATGCCCTCGGTAACTAGGCCCTCTTAAAGATTCCACCACTTCCCAAGAAGTGGGAAGTGCTGCTAGAGACCAAGTCACATGGACCTTTGAAGGACACTTAACATCCAAGCTATCAAAGAACCAGAGTCTTAGTAATCCAGAGGATCTGTCAGAAGTTCTGGAGTGGAATTGTTGGGGAGCAGACAGTTTTCAACAGACAGGTAAAAGTTTATTAACAACGGGGTTAAGGATTGAATGCAGGAAGATTGGAAGCATCGCCTGTTCCTCTAGGAAAATATGGCAAGCTGGAGGGAACGACCTGTCATCCTGAGTACAGGCTAAGCCATGGTCCTTGAGGGAACAGGATCAGGACGTACTCAGGGCCAGGAGGGCTTTGGTTTCTTATTGGATTTTCAGGACCAAGCTTCAGTGAGCACTATACAGTAAAATCTTTTATTTGCATCAAAGGCTATGAAATATGAACAGTGGGTGCCAGAGCTCAAGTTGACTAAGACCTCAACTGACACTTCCTAGGCCTGTCAGCTTCTTTTTCTTCCCCTTCTTCTCCTTTCTTTCTTCTCTATTTTGCTCTTGTTATCTTGCCTGAGGAGCAGCCTTCAGAGCTCATGAAAATTAATTCTGTCTCAGCTTTTGTGCCCAGAGATAAAGTGCTTATTCTCATATTTTTTCCCTTTCACCCTCTGCCTCTCTCTCTCTCTGTCTGTCTCTCTCTCAAACAGAGGCAATTTTGGGGGCATTTGGCGTGGTGCACAACTGTAATCCCCGCTAATCAGGAGGGAGAGATCAGGTGGTTTGAGGCCATCTCAACAAACAAGCCTGGTGTGGTGGAGGTGCACGGCTGTAGTCCCAGCTGTGTGGGAGGCACAGGTAGGTAGGAGGATTGCCATCTGAGGCTGGCCTCAGGGCAAAAAGTGTAAGACTGTATCTGAAAAATAACTAAAGCAAAGAGGACTGAGAGCTTGGCTTAAGTGATAGAGTGCTTGCCTACCAAGTGTGAGGCACTGAATTGGAGCTTGCTTCCCTTCCAAGCTCTTGTAATAATGTTCATTCAGTGTTAGCAAGCCATTCTCAGCTGTGATAGGTTGCTGAGAAAGGGCACAAACTTTTTTTTTTTTTGACTGTACTGGGATTTGAACTCCAGGCCTTGTGCTAGCTAGGCAGATGCTCTACCACTTGAGCCATACCCACAGCTCAACACCAGCTTTTTTTTTTTCTTTATTCATTTATTCACATGTGCATACATTGTTTGGGCCATTTCTCCCCCCTGCCCCCGGCCCCTCCCTCTTCCCCCCACCCCCTCGCTTCCAGGCAGAACCTGTTCTGCCCTTTTCTCTGTTTTTGTTGAAGACATAAGCAATAATAAGAAAGACACAGCGTTTTTGCTAGTTGAGATAAGGACAACTATACAGAGAGATTCCTAGCATTGCTTCCATGCACAAGTGTATTACAACCCGAATTGATTCATCTCTACCTGACCTTTTCACCAACAAGCTTTTAATGGTCCAGAAGAAGTTGGTCCAGGAAGAATGGCACAAAGAAGGAGATGCAAATGCCAAAGGGATGCTGTTTGCCTGGGACCTGGGTGATGAGCCCCATCTTTAGAGAGGCTCCCAGTTGCTCTTCTCATTCTCCCTCTTGGAAACCAAGTTTGCAGATTTGGTCTGTGCTCCTAACACGAGTACAGTCATGTACATATAATGACGTTCTGAGGTTGGTCCCACAAGATTATAATGGAGCCAAAATATTCCTGTTGCCTAGTGACCTCGTAGCTGTCATACCTTTGTAGCGTGACCCTTTACTCATGTGTTTGTGGTGAGGACGTAGAGTCACACCCACTGAGCTGCCCGTTGTTAAAAAGTATTGCGCTTACACACACTCCACAATACTCGATAATTTACTAAGCTGAACTTACCATTATTTTCTAATGTACTCGTGTTTGTAAAAAGTTTATTGTGAACAGTGTGCTGTGTGACGCTGACAGTGTTCTTATCTAGCTTGTGTTTCCTGCGTCTCTTGATTGCGCCATTTTCTCTCGTGCTTGAGTTAATCTTTGTCATTATGGCCCTAGGAGCAATGACATCTGTCTGTATGCCATATAGCCCAGGGGTGCAGTGGGCCATACCGTCTAGGTTTGTGTGCTACCCTATGATATTCACCCAGTCACCTAACGGCACTTCTCAGCCCTTGTGCAAATGCTAAATTAAGGAAGGGCTGTAATTCCCCAGGACTCTCTTCAGCCTGGAGGGTGGTAGGCCTACAGTCTTTGAAGAATGGAGAATGGTACCAAGGTACCAGGGATGGGGAGGCCAGGTGCCTTCTGGCTTCCCTGGGGCCAAGAAAGGGGCTGAAGGCAGAGCTGCATCCAGCCAGTCAGAACCAGGCAGAAGGTGCCAGATGAAGTTTCCTTTTCTGAAAGCAGATTTTGTTTTTTTCCTTTTACAGCGAAATTGGAACAGTGTTGGGAAAATGGGACAGGTGTCCCCAATCAAAGAGACAGGGCTGTTTACCCAACTCAGCAGAGGGGCCTTAAAGGAGGGGAAATATTGATATAAAGAAAACTCAAATTTTCTGACTAAGGGGTACTCCCTGCCAGCTTGGGACCAGGGACCCCGGGACCAGAGAGGGGGCATGTGAGCTGCCGTCTGACAGATGGACACCCGGAGCTGGTGGGCAGGTCAAAGTTCACACGGGAGATAGGAGACAGAAGGGAATTCTGTTTCTTCAGACTGTAGGAAAGGATGGTTCGAGGTTCGTGCCCTGTCACTTGAGTACGCGAAGGCTGGTGGGGGAGGTAAGGAGTGCAACCCTCTTGGGGGGCGGGGGGATGGTTGGACGTTCACTTTCCACAGTCTCTGGGTTTCAGAGGCCCCAAAGCGTCGGGAGGAGAGAGGCAGAAGCCAGGAGAGGTCAAGCGAGAGCCAGCTTGACTGCAGCTCCAGTCCCGGGTCAGGACAGCCGTGCTGTCTCGTATCCATCAGCCGCACCGCCGCCAAATAACCCCAGGAGTTTTGATCCCAAAGGGACCACGAGGCAGCGACCGGCCAGTCCTGCGCGTGCCGGTCCCCAAGGCTCCCTGGTCTCGAAATTGACAGGAGACCGATTTTGGTGCAATGCGATTTAGCTCCAGCTGCCAGGTCGGAAGGAACTGACAGGCCCGGCTAGGCTGGCCGGGGGCCGGGGACCGGACACCATGCCCACAGCCACCTCCCGTAGTCATAGCAACTGGCGGGACTGGCTGGGGCCACCCTCACCGGCGCGCGCCCCGCCCTGTGCGCCCCGCATCCGGCCGCCGCGCACCCCCACCTCGCCCGGGCTTCGGAGCTCCACGCAGGGGCGCCCCCTCCCGCCCGAGGAGGGAAAGCCCGGGCGCCCCCAGCCTTGGCTTCGTAATAGATGTCCCTGGGCGCCAGGGCTCTCCCGCGCACCCCAGCTCTCTGCACCTGCCGGGTCCCCGCACCTGCCCTCCCCGGGACTCCAGGGCGCACGGTCGCCCGGGGGATCGCGGCGCCCCCACGCCCAGATCGCGGCGCTCCTGGGGAGGGGAGCAGGACATCCCCGAAGGCGGCCGCGCGGGAGGCGGGGAGGTGGCGGGGCGCGCGGGGAGGGCGGGGAGCCCGCGGGAGGAGGCGGGGTGGGGGGAGTGGGGCGGGCGGCGGGGCGGGAGCAGGAGGGAGGCAAGAAAGTAAGAAAGTGAGGCTGGCAGGCGGCGGCTCGGAGACTGCGAGCGGCGGCGGCAGGAAGTCTGTGCCCAAGACTAGCGGAGAGAAGAGCCAGAGAGGAACCGCGGCGGCAAGAGCGAAAGAGGAAACTGCAGAAGAGGAAGCTCTGCGGCAGCCCGGAGCCTCCCGCCCCGCGCCCGGCATCCCCGCGCCGCTCCTGCGCCCGCGCCCGCCGCGCCGCGCCCCCGGCGCCCCCTCCCAGCGCGCCCCCGGCCGCCCCGCCGCGCCGCGCCGCGCTCGTCTGCCATGGCCCGGGAGAACGGCGAGAGCAGCTCTTCCTGGAAAAAGCAAGCCGAGGACATCAAGAAGATCTTCGAGTTCAAGGAGACCCTCGGAACGTAAGTGGGCACCAGGGAGAAGAGGGTGGAGGTGGCCGCGGTGGTGGCGGCGGCGGCTGCACACGCGGCTCCTGCTGTCACCGCCACCTCCGCAGAAATCAGCTCGTCGCTGCGTCCTGATTGTCGGGTTCACGGCTTTGCCAAGCACCCCCCCGCCCCGCGCCCACCGCGTGGGTCTGCGCCCCCGGGTGGCACCGCTTCTGGGCGGGCGGGGGAGGGGAGCGCAGGGCGCGCAGAGAGCAGCCCACGCGGGCGGGCGACTTTCCACTTCCCCTGTACCGCCGCCCTCCACCGCTTTCTCCCCACGCGTGACTGTGGGCTGAGCATGGTGGGTGTCGCTGCTCACTGGGTGCGTTTACTCACTGTGTGTATGGGTGCACTGTGGGGACCGGGGACTTGGTCACGAGGAAATTCAGCCTCCGGGCATTCCCATTTCTGTCCTTACATCACGTATTCGCAGGCAGTTGACATGTGCACACACAGGTGTAGGCACGACTTCGGATGGCCGCGCGATTCTGGAAGGGAAGAATTTCGCATGGAAGGGGTCACATGTGAGCAGAGCCTCACCTGAGCGTGTGTGCATTCCACATAGGCTCATCCGCACGCGCTGCGATGCGTGTCCCTATGGGAGCCGGGTCTGTGTCTTTGTCCCCGCGCCTCTCTCTGGAGCCGCATTTAGCCCGATGCTGATGGCTGCATCTCAAGAAAGCAGAAAGAACCCAAAGTCGATTGTAGGAGGGCTCCAAGCATGTGGTGCTCGTTCAGCTGAGGTTCCCTTCCTGCACAGGAGTTGGTTTTTGTTTTGTTTTGGAGCGCCTCAGCTAGGTGGAGGGGCTGATAGTGAAGGAGAGGCAGGCACTGCTGAATGAACCTGAAGTTCAAGTGACAGGGGTTCCCCCATACCATCACTTTCAGTTGTTGATCAGTCTGTCAGTGCATAGACATTCGCACACGTGCCTGTGAACATTTTGCAGGGGTTAGTTAAACTGGGAAGAAAAATAGGTTTTCGTGGATAAATCTCTGTGTTGCTAGCTACCCTTCTTTCTTTCCTTTCTTTCTTCCCATTTCTGTGGTTGGTTTTCTTTTCCAGAACCCCATTTTCGAACCCAGACTGTTTTCTCTCCTAGGCTCAGGGTCCACTGCATTAGTCATTTCCCCTCACCCCACCTCTGCAGTGGGTTTCCCAGAGGGAAGTTGTGAGGGTGGCATTCCCAGCCATGGGACTGATTTCCTGGGACAGTCCATGTGCCCATAAGAATAGGGCTGCCCTGCTGTCTGTGGCTGTAGTGTTTCTGGGAGTGCACCTCTGGGTACCAACTCGCTGTCTTTTTCTAAATGAATTCAGAGACCGTTTTGCTTTTTAATAAAAAGGGGTTTTCTAGTAAAGGGTTACTTTTGGTTGAAACTTTAAAAAAAATTGCCATTGAGGTTTCTTCAGGGTTGGGGTTGTGACTCAGAGATACTCAAGTTGCCAAGAAACAAATGTGCCTTTTGCTTGTCACTCAGGGAATCACTGTGTGGTTGTGGATGAGGGGAATGGAGAGAGTGTGAATGTGTCTTTTCCCATGGGTTTCAAATGGGGCACTGGCCCCCTTTTCCTGCAGCCTCCTGGCAGGCAGATGCAGTTTCTGTCCCCTCATTCCCTCCTGCTCCCAGAGAGAGCCTTGTGTGGCATTCCTCTGCAGTGGCCAGGCTGGGCTCATTGAGCTGTGTCTCCACGGAGTCGTTCATGCGCTGGTAGCTTGGAAGTGACCAGAGTGGCTTCCACCTCTAAGAAAGATGGGGCTTTACTTTCTGGTGTTGAACGGAGCTCTGACCATATTCTGGTAAGCTCTGGGAGTGGGTCTCTCCCTAGGTCCCATTGTTGTCTTCTACCTTGGAAATAATTCTTTGCAAAGAAACTCCCCCCTGTAGTGTTGGCATGGGTCCTAGAGGAGTGAAGTAAAATGATCAAGGTATTTTAAATCCAATGACATAAAGTAATGATAATCATGGTGACATTATTAAGTGCATACTAAGCCCTGGGCATTTATTCTAAGCACCCTATATATGATAACTCATCTAACTCTCATGGTAACCTTATGATGTAGGTGTTTGGTACTCTCCCCAGTTTACTGATGAGAAAAATGAGGCAAGAGAGAGATTAAGTGGCCTGCCAAACCTGAGCTAGCTATTTGTTGGTGGTGGTGATACTCAGATCTAGGCAGAGCAACTCTTGATTGTTCACATGGGGTTGAGTCACTTGGTAGACTTTGTAACAGCAAATGCTTGATGGTAATCACTTGGCTTGGGCTGGGAGGTAACTCAGTGACAGAGCGCTTACCTTACATATGCAGGGCCCTGCCTTCCGTCCTCAGCACATTCCCCCAAAATTGATGTAACTTTAGTATTTGGAAAGCTAATTTTAATATTAATGTACATAAAACATAATGATGGGATGGCCTGCTATCTAAAAGCTTTTGAATTATCTGTATCGTTTTGTCTACTTGGACTTGCTACAAGTGATCCCAAGTTCAGGATGTCTGTTTCTCCCTGAGCCAAGTCTTAATTCTGGAGGTCACTTTCTGTCCCTTCAGTGTGGATTTTGAATCTGGGTTTTCCTCTTGTTTGTAATGAAGACCAGCATGAATCACAGGCATCAGCAGTTATAATTCAAGTCCATTTGTGAAGAATTCCGCAGATCAAATCATATTGCTTGTGACACATTGACCGTGTCTTTAAGATTGTAAGGCAGGAAAGCCCCGTGAAGTCAGGCTGTCATCTTACAGTGTTAAAACACTTTTGAATAAAGCCTTGTACAAGCTGAGAAGGGCTCACATTGGCAGACTTGTCATCTGATATATGGCTGCCTTATCCAAGTGTCTTTACTCATGGAAAGGGTCCAGTGTGCTGGAGGGACCTTGCTGGAGAATATGAGTGAAGATTGGCCCAAGAGGTGGAAGAAGACATTGAGGAAAGGAGTAGGTCTGTGATGTGCACCTGGGTTGTCCGATGCACTTCTGAGTCAGGCCTTTCAACCCGTGGGCTTCACTTTGGCCTCCTTTGAAATGGAATCCCAGAGCCTAACCGCATCTCTGAGTTAGTTGGTGAGACTTAATTACTGTTTACTAATCAACAGTATGTTTTCAGATCCCTGGCACATGGTGACAGCAAATACATGTTGTGTAACAGCAAATTATGAATGGTAAACATTGCTGTTGGTGTATTTGTTAGGCTGTTGAAGCCATCTCTACCGGAGATGGCTTCTGAAACCACAGAGCCCAAATATGTGCCACTTGGAGAAGTATGTGACTGGGAAAAACACTGGTGTGGCTCCTGAGACCCGTGGAAGTCCCTTCTGCAATTTCTAGCTAGGAAGTGCATCTGAATAGAGAAGGCCTTAATACTTGGCCCAGCTAGATGACTTTCTAAACATACCTCACCTCCTCTGGAGATCAGAATGGCCTGTCCTAGAAAGTACAGTTTCATCTCTGCAGGGTGTGAGTACATGTTTCAGGTAGACTGTCTGCAGTTCAAGTCTGTAGGTGACTGGCCCAGCATGGTGGAGGAGCTAAGCCTGGCTCCTGGCTCTGGCTGAGCTACTAAGGGGTTGTGTGGCTTGTAAGTTGGCTGGCCTGTCCTCTTGTTCCTGTCTCAGCTTCCTCCTCTCTTAAAAAACCAAAGGGAAGGGGCGGGAAAGGTAGATGATTATCAAGTGCTCTGGCAACCCTACGGTTTTGTGGCTCACCTATATCATCAGGAAGGCACTTCCTCTTGTTCCTCAGGTTTTCCTTGTATGACTGGGTGCAGCTCATTTCTGACTTTTTCTTTTTTTTATGACTGTGCAAGTAGCGTAGTGAAGTAGCTCAGGATCAGCTGCCTTATTCTGCACAGCGTCAATGGCAGTTGGGTCCTCTTTTTTCATTTAGTGTCTTCTGGGTGCTGCTTTAGGAAGAAAAGAAACTGTTATTTCTGTGGGGGCAGTCTTGGTCTTTCTCACCCCATCTCATACTTCTCTGACTTATTCTGAAATTGCTCAAGGTATACACCTGTTGACACAAGTGATTCGATTTGTCTGAAAGCCTGAATAGGAGATAGACTCGGTTGTTGTTTATTGGGGTTATGTGTTTGTGTGAGGAAAAGGGGGAAAGAATGCCGAGCTATTTGAGGTGGCTTGTATATTTGCTCATTTGATTAATTGTGTTTATTCTAAGATCACCCTGACTTGTAGTATTTGTGAGAAGCATTTGGAAGAATGTTACAAAGAGAAAAATTGGGATGTGAAGTTGTAGGTTTCCACCGGGGGGGTGCAATATTTGCTCTCAGTTTGCATTTCTGAGCTCTCTTATTGGGAGGCATGATACAAATTCAGTCTTTTTTTTGGCAGCACTGAGGTTTGAAATCAGGACCTCACACCTGCTAGGCAGGCATTCTCCCACTTGAGCCACTTCGCCAGCCCCTTTTTTGTGTTGAGTTTTTTCAAGATAGGGTCTCTCTAACTATTGGCCTGGGCTGGCTTCGAACTGAGATCGTCCTGATCTCTGCCTCCTAAGTAGCTAGGATTACAGGCATGAGCCACCAGCACCTGGCTAAATTCAGTCTTTATAAAATTTAAAAATACCTCCCCAACACCTGCTGTGTTCTAGACACAGGAATGCCTGCTGTCCTGGGGCTCATGTTCCAGTGGGGAACCAGAAAATCAAACAAATAAAGAAGTAAAGTGTGAAGCTGTGGTGACACCTGCCTGAGATCTAGCATGTGGGAGGATCGTGAGTTTGAGGTCAGCCTGGGCTACATAGGGAGACACTACCTGAAAAACAACAAAAGGGGATGGGTTGGGGAAAGGGGATGGAAAGAGTAATAGAAGGAGTGACTACGATAGACTTATATTACATTCATGTATGGAAATATTACAGCTAGCCCCTGCACACTGTATAGTTAATATGTGCTGATAAAATTGACTGTGCAGAGAAGTAAATAGTGTACATGTTAGAAAAATAAAGCAGGGAAACTGGGTTTCTTGGGGATGGTTGATGGCAGCTTGAGGTGGGATGGCCAAGGAAGGTTTTGTGAGAAGCTAATAATTGGAATGAAGATCTGAAGGACTCATGGGATTTCTGGAGACAGAATGTTCTAGTCAGAGGAAACAGCAGGGGCAAGGACCCCAGGCAGGAGCATGCCAGAGCCCCAGGGACTTCAAAGCCAGTGTGGCTGGAACCAAGGGTCAGGGTGGTAGACTGATTCAGGAGAGGTAGAGAGAGTGGGGAGGTGAAGGGCTTTGTGAGCTGAGTAAAAACTGGCTTTTGCTCCAAGATAAATGGGGATCATTGTAGGATAACTTGAT